CACGATTGTATCGAATAGGTAAAACCTAAACCTTAAAATCTACCAAATTTAATCACTCAATCATTACTACTGTGTACAATTGATTTCCAAAATAAATATAAAACTACAGTCTAAATTTGAAAGCAGGACACTAATGACTAATTAACCTTTTAAGTTTGCAGTTTTAAAGTTATATGACATTGTATGCTGACGTCGCCGCTATTACTCTTAATATTTAGAGGAAGATAATTTACTATTAATAAGTAAATTCTTCTAGTTATAAACATGGATTAGTTAAAAACTTTGGAAAGGCTTTCACTTCTAACTTGTGTTAGTCACTCAAAACAATAAGCGTGCACAAGTTCGAACAAGATAAAATGATTTGGCTGGAGGGGACTCTAGCTCAAAATAGTTTGGAAATCTCTTACTTTAACTCTGGTTTACATGGAACTTAAATTACAACTATTTGTACTTTTTGTGGAAAAGTGAACTATTCCATGTTTATCATATTTTGCGCAATTAGGATTAACTTCAGATCGGCAAACTCAAATGGTTAATATAAATACACCGGCCACTCGTTTCAAGCTATACGCAGTGCTGTACCATTCCACTCGGCCACCTAGCTTGCATTCGTCGTTCACTTAAAACAGTCTAACTAAACCATTATCGTAACCTTAACATGTAGCATTGCGTGTAAACTGGCTTAGTTGCCTACTTATTTTGATATACCATTTTTTATTTTAATTATTGGAAGTAAACCAACTCGGTAGTCACATTATATCCTACAAGTGAAGCGATTTAATCTATTATCGTTATTTAATCGATTTTGATGTCAACAACCACCAATCTTTCAATATTTATTTGTCATCAAATTGTTCTTAATAGAAAAACACACATTCTATTTATTTTCGAAATCAATAACAGAAATTCCGCAATATTAAAGGAAAAACATCTTTAGCTTTCGTAAGAATATAGTCGTGGGTTATACCCCTACGAGCTTCATCCCATTAGCCGCCATGACAACGACGTCAACCAGGCGTCCGGGAGACGACAAAACTAGCCGACAGAGCCTGACGAGATCGGTAGGCATCTCATAGTTGTCGCCGAAATACGTGTACAACTAAGATACTTCGATTTAGACTCGGACACTGCCTCGTGATAATAGCTATAAGGGTGCGATTTGTATTCAAAACAAAATAAAACAGATAATAACCGAACACAACGACCAGTGGTTGTCAACACGACATTGTAAAACCGAAACAAACACGTCACTTCCACGGACTTTCATATTATTATATTCCCGATAGGTTTTATCGCTAATCGTATCGAGTCAGTAGTATAGTGATAAAACTCACCACTGCTGATGGTCGGGCTGCGCGGGCTGCACGGGCGGGTACCCCGGGTACGAGTAGCCCGGGTACACGCCGCCCGGGTACATGGGGTACTGGTACTGCCCGCCCCCGCCCCCCACGCCGCCCACCGGCTGCCCCGCGTTGGGCGTGGGCGTGGGAGGCGCCTGCTGCGGCGCCGCTTGTTGCTGAAAACGCGTCCACTGTATACCGGCTGATCTCGAGATCTATATATCGAACCTTTTCAGGAAGAATATCGTAGCCGCCATTTTGTGTATTTTACAGGAGAGTTTTATTAAAATATTCCTTAAAGTATTGACATCGTCATTTATCAAGCGACATTTGTATGAATAAATACAAATGTCGCTTTGTCGCAAAAATTGACGTTAAAACTGTCGACGATGATGGTTAAAAACGTTTTCAAGCATGTCGCTTACGATAATTTTAAAATATGAATCTAAAAAGTAGAAATAAATTTTTTTTGGGTGTTTTAGTTTTTTTAGAGATGATACTAACTTCATACCAAGAAAAAACACTGGTATTAATTAGTCTTACAACCATTAATAATACTATGTTTACATAAAATAATACGTTTTTTTTCATCAGATTCTGGTACACCTATAGAACTTCGATGTGCTAAATATTCGTAAAATAAGTCTATTTATCGACTCCACACCAAGGGTGAATTAACTTGTACAATTGCGTTTTACTACTATGAAACAATAGATTCGTAAAAATATAAGAAATAAACAGTTCTAATCTTTTCTATTTACCAACTTGTCACAATAAAGTTTCAGTGGTTTCTTTTATAAAACTAAGTATATGATTTAAATAAACTTTGAAATGTGGTAATAGTAACTAATAAGTAAAAAGCAATACACATTAATTTCTATCGCAAGCGACGAATTTTATACAACTTTTGGCTTCAAAGTAAATGAGTAAGGTGCAAATGTGATCTATCTGACAATTAGTACAAAAACATCAATTTTGGAGTTTTGACGATTACGATGTTATTCCTGAAAAGGCTCGATACGTATAAGGTTCAATCCTGTGGTCCCTTTGCAACCCTGTTTAGTTACCTTCATCTTGATCTGCGCCTCGATCGCCTCCGCCTCCTTCTGCTTGCCTATGCTGCGGTAGTACTCGGCCCACTGCGCGCTATAGTCGGCCCCCCCTGAGGCCGCGTCGCCGCCGGGCCCCGGCGCGCCCCCCGCGGGCCCCCCCGCCCCGCCCGGGGCCCCGCCCGGCGCCGGCGCAGGCGTACTCGCCCCGCCGCCCGCCCCTACATCATTACAATTGCATTACGACTGACAATTTCATATGTAGAGCGTCGTTTCAACGATGGGTATGTTCCGATATACACTGCGAGCACTGCGCAGTGGTCTTACTGCTGAAAAATCCGTTCCGTTATGGACTGCCAGTACACTGCTACAGTACCCTAGGGAAATTTATGACGTCATAAATTGCCGCCATATTTGTACTGTGAGCACTGGAGATTTCGAGGTAAGGTGCTCGCAATGCTTTTGATCACGTGATCAGTCGAAACAGAATCAGAAAATGATAAGTTTCTAAATAAACAAAAAAAATATACTTACGTTTATTTATAAGATGGATTTAATTGATAAATATTTTTTTTATACAATTTTCCAATTTATTTTGAAAAGAGGGAATCTTTATATTTATATTCACCTTGCATCAACAAATTTGAAAATGGCGCCAAAAAATAGGATTAACAGTATACTGGACTGCGTTCCTTTTTAAAAAGTCACCAGCATAACTAGCTATAAAGGAACGCGCTTCCAGTATACTAAATTGACGTCATACTGTTCAGTGGTCGCAGTGTATACCATACCCGATATAGGATTGTGAATTGCATGTTTTCAACAACTTTCAAGTAATTACTCAAAAACCATTATGAATATTGTAAGAGTTCTACAGTAAGCTCTCAGATACAAAGTAACTTGCATATTTATAAATTTAAAAGAGTTATAATGTAAAAAAAAAAAATGTTTTTATATTTATTATATCAAAACTAGTAGAACAAATTCTGTTGTTTATGATGATTTACCACTACCACTACATTCTAGGTGTGGTATCGGCCCCTATAAATACTTAATACGAGATCGAAAGCGAAAAATAATGAAGTGAATTATCAGAACGATCAATTAGTGTTGGGAAGTGACCGTAGTATCATGAATAATTAAATTAAAGTGTGTTTTAGTAACAAATGATTTTTGTAATATTAAAAAGATTCGTATTGTGAATTTAACTGGCGTTAAATTTTTATCCCGAACCCTATCGCATAACAATATAAGATCAATATATTTAAAATATCAATCGCTCACCCGGCATGCCCTGTCGTTGCTGTTTGGCTTGTTGTTCTATAGCCTCCGCTTGCTGGTTGAGACCGAGCGACCTGTAGTAGTCGATCCACTGCTGCGAGTAGTCAGGCTGACCCGTCGCCGGGTTTATGGCGACCTGCTGCTAATAATATATACAAAATAATAATACAGAGGTGAAGTTTTTAACTTTGTTCGTAGCTGATCTGTGGAAATCTATCCCTACGGGAAGCTACATCGCGTGAGTTCTAAAGACTATTTTTTTTTTATTTATTTAAGGTACACCAACAGCTATACATGTAAACACATATTTTGCATACGGGGATAATTGTACAGGACCTACATGATAGCCAATAACTGGCATACACAACACTGCCAAGAATTTCTACACTTGACTACAATTTAAAAGTCGCTTCAATAAAAAAAAGATACATTATTTATACATGTATATTTGAAATTTATACATGTATAAAGTATCTTCCAAAATATGTTTTTTGATGTATGTATGCTTGGTACCTGCGGCGGTTGCGCGGCGGGCTGCTGGTGCCAGTGCGGGTTGTAGCCCCAGGCGGGGGGGCCGCCGCCCCCGTAGTACTCGCCGCCCCCCGCGCTCGCGCCCCCACCCCCGCCGCCGCCGCCGCCGCCGCCCCCGCCCATGCCGCCTCCGCCGTTGCTGGGGCCGTCTTGCATGAAGTTGATGGGCTGCTCGAACAATATTACTTTATTAAATGAGTGTCGAAACGAAGTTAAATAAAATACGAGATTAGATTACCGTCAAGGCTTCTAATTTAATTGAACACTAACCAAATTATAATAATAATGTTATAAGTCAATAAACCGTAGGTAGGTCGCGATCAAAGCAATGCGGATTTATTATAAGACCAAAATGAAATAATGCTAATCTTAATATATTATAAGGCAAAAGACCCGGTTTTGGCCACTGCTCCCTTTTTGGCCATTTGGAACTTCAAAGCGTTCTAACTAACGCATAGATAAATATATTACTGTGAACGGTTTTCAAAATGTTTCATTATGGCAAAACTGATTGCATTAATAGCTAATATATATTAAAGTTCACTTCATCAGAACTCTCAAACTGGCCAAAACTAGCTCATAATCTTATAATGGCCAAAACCGGGTAATCTGCCTTAATCATGTACTTTGTACTACAACCGATGGCTTTTATCTATAATATAAAAGTCATAGACGAACCCCGCCACTCCTGCACTGATTTTTATCACATTTCTATGTAATATTTCAGTAATTTTATTGAAATTGTGCTTTACACTTTATTGAAATTTCGTTCGAAGCCAAATCAACACGAAACCATTTATATGTGTGCATACGCTACAATATCATTCACGTCTCACCATTCCCACTTTCTCCATGATGATCCGCTTGCAGTGCTCGACGCTGTCGGGCGCGCCGCGTATGTAGAACGTGCGGTTGTTCCGGTCCGCGCCGGTCGCGCGCCGGTCCACCTCGCAGTGGGCGCCGGACTGGGCGTTTATCTGCTTTATCACCTCACCACCTGATGCAGGCACGCGACCGATGGTGGTGAGCGAAACGTTAAGATACCAAATACGAAAGTTCAACGATATTTGGGTGACAGAGGTAAAAAAAAGTTCACTGACCCTTGTCAAACGAATACGGAACCAAAAGGTTCTAAAATTTTTTTTTGTCTGTCGTGTTAGCGAGTTAAATGGATGAGAAAAAATATGTGAATATGATTTACCGCAACAAAAACGATATTAACTTTTGTGTGGTATAACCCAACTGAATAAAAGAGCTCCATATAAGAGAAGAAGGAAGCATAAGTAGGACCGACCCCTGCCGATGATCAGGCCGCACTTGGCGTTGGACATGGTGAAGGTGACGCGGATCTCCTGCGCGTCCTGCCAGTGCTGGTAGTCGCCGCGGTCGCCGTTCCGCTGCATGCGGCCGCCGCCCCCGCCCCCGCCGCCGCCGCCGCCGCCGCCGCCCCCGCGCCCGCCCGACCTCACCTCCTGTTCCCGTCTCTGTCGCGTCAAATTCCCGTTATGAAACCACTGCACGTACTTTGAAATTATCTACGTAGACGAACTTAAACTTCGCGACCTCATATACCGCTCCATCGACGATTCGCTAAGAGAATCCCGCGGAATCAATAGATGGAGATCGCCGAAATGTATTCCGGATAATGTATGTCTAAACGAGTGAGTCTACTTTCGAAAGGCGCTGCTGAAACGTTTTTTTTGTAAATTATAGAACCGCTGAAATATATTACTGCCTTTAAAGTTTAGGAACCGCTTGCGATAGATAACTTCAAATAGTACAACAGAACGCTCCGTAACGAAAATTTGAACATATAATTGTACCACAGTGCTCTACAGATAGCATATAATGATGGTGCTTCCCGCACTGCTGTTAGAAACATTCTCTATCACATTATTATAAATGTAAGGATTCGTTAAACATTGTTAGATATCTTAGGTGATTCTACATTAAAGCAAAATGTTGAAATATATCAAAAGTTTGTTTAGAAAATGTACACTAATGCTTAGAACGCTTGAATTTTACAATAGTGAGTTCAGGGTAATTGCTATAAATTAAATTATCCAAACATTAAAATTTACGAATTTTCGAAAAAAAAATAAACAATTCAAGTACGAGTCGCACTCAGGGTTTGTTGTATGGGAGCCCTTTTAGTGTTTATTATATTCTGTTTTTTAGTATTTGTGCAACTTTCATGGTTCATGAGATATTGGTGACATACAGAAAGACAGAGTTTTCTCAGTAATAGTGTTCCAGTTTTATCCTTTGGGTATGGAACAGTAAAATCATGGTTATAATATTTCTATATTAAAACAATGTTTTACAGCAGAGTTTCTCAAATATTATTTTAGAGCAAATCGTGAAAGTAAAGTACCGTCATGCCCCCACATTAATTGAAACTTACTGAACATCTACGAGTTGTTGAACTAACCGTCTCCTTCCTACAAAAATAATTATTTGTTTAATTGTAAATTACTGTCAAAGTACTCACATTAACACTGGATATTAAATCTTCAATCATTTGTCTCGCTTGATCGACTTGATGGGGTTTCCCTTGTAGATAACATCTAAAACAAAAATTATGTGTTCAGAATTATATTATAAATACAAATTTGCGGTCGCGTCGTTCGTTTGGACACTAACTACTTCAAATTAAAGTTTGTATAGTATGTTTTTTTTGTGTGATAATAGTTTGGAGGTTAGAAAGTGACATAGGCTACTTTTGACCAATTTAGGGACTAACTGACAGTCAAACTCACCTCTTGTCTCCGGGCCCATCGTCACGCTCCTGGTGGAACTGCACCCTGCATCCGGTCTCGGCCTGGATCTTCTTGATCATATCCCCTCCTCTCCCTATCACTACACCTACCGCAATTTTTGGTACTAATACCTGTCAAACGGACCAATTCACAGAGGAATTAGTAAAAGTCGTATAGATCTCGATGCAACTTCTACTTGGGAAAAGTTTTATATTCGTGAGCGATAAACGATAAGGGAGATCGGATAAAAGTGATCGCAAACGACGTCGCCGAGTGGAGTACGAATTCGTATTCTACTTTGTTAGAAATAATATATGTAATTGTCTATTTTGATTTTAATAAATCCATAAAACGAAATTTTACTTGTATGTTTTCTTGTCTTAAAATTAAATCAAAATTTAAACTATTTAAATACCGGCGATAACGCTGTCCGTCATATTCATGACGTCACTGTAATATGTACACAATTCAGAATCGTAGAGTAGAAGATTAAAAGATTTCAATAAAACAAGAACAATGCCATCTAACGATCGATTACGAAATAATAAGATATAAATAAGCTAAGAACAGCGCTATCTAGGACATATATTTATAATAAATAGGTTTATTTTTAAGACCTGACAGTTGTCGTCACAGGGACGTCGCACAATGGGGGACGTGTTTAAAGTCACGTGACACACAGACAAAAAATTACTACTTTTAATTTTAACATAATCGTGCGATTTAGTTTTTGTGCAATATTGGGGCGAGTATAGTCGCACCTCTGTCGAGTTGGCGTTGAGGTTGCCGTGGTCGTTGCCGTAGTCGTCGTAGGGCGGTCGCGGGCCCGCGGGCCCCGGCCCCGCCTGCATGTCCTTGTCGGCCAGCAGCTCGAACACCAGCTGCTTGGCGTGCTCCACCTTGGACGGGTCGCCCGATATGCGGAGCGGCTTCTCCTAAGGCAACAGACAGTTTACATTCGACATCGCACACTTTGCTCGGCTAAATCCTGTCTTATGGATATCCGAAACGGCGAAACTCCCGCCTACAGTGCCTGTACAAATTTACTTCCCGCCTTGTACAAAATGCAATTTGTTTCAGTGATAAAAACACAATCAACAAATAAAGTGGTCTGTTACTGTATTGAATATTGTCATTTTCGTTTTTTTTTTTCTTTACTTTGTATGAATGTATTTCATTTAACACAATAAAAAATAATATACATATATAATACATTTATTACCTATTTGCTATTAAGGAACATTCTTATTATTATTAACATAAGTAATTTGTAATTTATAGTATAAATGTTAACAACATTGATAAATAACATTATTAATGAGCAGTACATCCCTTGTATTTAGTTAACAAATAATATTCATTGAAGAATGAGTGTTTGAATTTATAACCCGGTTTTACCTGCGCAGTGGACGCCATATTGGGTTTACATTCGGGCCAAAGTCAAACAAATATTTAAAAAACTTTATTGATATTTATCAAGTCTCATTCAGTTATTAACTTTATTGAAAACAAACCTGGTACGTACTCCATGAACTGCAACTCCAGAATACAAGTTTTATTAATGCTAGTACTCACATACTCAGTGTTAGGTCCATCTTGTATGACTACCATCTTGGCTCCTGATTGCTCTTGCAGCTGTTTAATAGTTTTGCCGTTCTTGCCTATGATTAAGCCTACTTTCGGTCCTGGCAGCATTATTTCTTCCTGTTTACATATACCCCAAGTGTAACTATAACTTATTATGAGATATCACAAACAAACACTTTATTTTTAAACATAAATATTCTAACAACAATATGAAAGAAAGACTAGATTTTTGTTATACTTTTTTTCATGTTAAAACATTTTTTATAGCCAGCATATGCTAGCACTGGCACGATGCCTACGTACCGTGGTTGCCAGGCCCCCGCCGCCGCGCGGCATTGGCGGCATGTTGCCGACAGGGTTGCCGTCTGGATGCTGAGGGGCATTCTCCCTGCCCCGGTGGTTCACTATCTGGTTCACCAGTTCCCTGTGCAATTACAAGGTTACAGTAATGCCTAGCTAATATGTGTTTAATGATTATGATAAACAGCTTTATTTTTAATAATATGAGTTGCAAAGTTAAGTGAGTTCATGTCTCGGTCACACAGAGCAGGTATCAGAGTGCACTACTTGAGTCACTCGCATTGGGCAAGATTCAAGCACAACATTGGAAAAATATATTAAGATTTAGTTGTTATGTACTTTTCTCACTCACTTTGCTCTCTGAATTGCCTCCCTGGACCCAGTGAGTGTGCAGACACGGTCAGGTTGTCCACCAGAGTCCGGGGCCATCTGTATCTTGCAGCCAGACTCTGCCTGCAACCTCGTGATCTGTTCACCGCCGCGTCCTATTACTGAAAGAGTTCAGGATTTTAGTACAATGAAGACCACCACAATTAAGTCACAAGCACGCCTGTCTTATGATCCATTTGGGTCATTGTCAAAATGGATACTGTTTTTGTCCCAAACATAATATATCATTTGAAATCAAAAGAAATATGTATTTAAAATAAACAGATATGGTTCATTGTATTACATTTTCTTCATTAGCAATTGAAAATACTTATAATTTTTACATTATTTTATTATTATGCCTTAAATGTCCGCTTCAGTGGTCCTTCACAACACCACTTAATCAAATTATGATTTGTTTATATAACGGTTCTGAGTGAAGTCTATTTTATTTATTAGCACAGCGATTGTGTTAAATGCTTTAAAAAATTAAAAGTACAAGACATTGTCATTTGTCACATAATTCAATGACTTATCACTTGAAACATATAAAAACGACTCAATCACAATATTAAAACAGTTATTAAAGTTAGAAAATGAGGAAAAACTATCGCACCATTACAAGGGTACATTGAATGTAAATATTTCCGATTCTGAGTCATCAGAATATACTATACCACTAACACAAGTGAAGGATAAGACCCCTGTGTAGGAACAGGAAGAATCCCCTACGTCACCCGAAAAGTTTTAAATTGTTTTATTGAGAAAATGTCAGTTAATTAGTACTTTTTTTTATAGAAATAATGTGTAGTGATCTCATCCTTGTAATTAAATCAATCATTGCAAAGTATTATCAATATAGTACTAATAATCAAATAAAAATAAGAAACCAATATTTCATTAGGATTAAAATGGATGCGTATCAGAGACCCTGGTGTAAAAACTATTAGAACACTCACTGAGTCCGACCATCTTGTCGGGCACCCGTATGTATTCGTTGAGAGTCTGGTCCTGCATCGCGTTGGGCGGGCCGAGCGGTGGCGCGGGCGCAGCCGCTGACGCCGCCGCGATACGAGCCGATGCAGCCGCCGCCGCCGCAGCCGCTGCCGCCGTAGCACTGGAAATTATACTCGTGTCGGATACCAATAATAATACGATGGAAATTGTCTTTGGAGCCACTTACCAATGCACGTGAAATAGACATATAGAAATTCACACCTATGGCAACTTTTTTGTTTTTATTCAAATTTAAAAATTCCAATTTACTAGAATGGAACATTGTTCTATAGAATTTGTGATTGATTTTATTTGGTAGTCAATAAAGACTAATTTTAGGTTTGTTAAATTCATTCAGATTTTACTCATAGAGTGAAGCTCCTGAAGGATTGCAACATTTTAGAAGGCTAATCAAATGATTATTATGAAGCGAAATATAAATAAGATTAGGTTGATTAAGTGACCTATAGTCAGATAAAAGTATTTTGACAAGATATTTAAAGTTTTTCTTTTTTGTTTTCTATTTGTTGTGATAATAAAATTAATAATGATGAATTAAATTGATTATGTCAGTACTATTGATATCACTTATAGAAGATGTGTCACATAGCTATATGGTTACTACCATGGAGGAGGTTTTTTTACAAACCCCTATATTTTATTATTTCAGGGGTGATATTTTACTTTTTTGTTATTAAGTGTTTAAGCTGATGGCATATGCAACTTTCAACTACTCATAGTAACTTGTGGTTAATGGTACTGGTTTTGCAATTATAAAACTGTGTACATCATATTATAAATTATAAAACTATTGTAAAACTGTTTGTTAACCCAAATAAATAAAAAAAAACATAATAAGCTCAGCAACTATGTTGAACTTATTTATAGAAGAGGACTAAAAGTTATAAAATTCATCATCACTTTTACTAAAAACACATTTTCATTAATTTATGCATGTTTACATCAAAAAATGAGAATTGCCCATACCTAAAAAAGAAAAACAAATCTCTTGGTTGCCTATCTGTCACAGCTGATTTTCTTCAAAACTACTATAATTGAAATTTGGACATGCATAGCTCATTCTACAGTAAATTCATACCACACATTAATAAAGTAGGTAAAATACTCTCCCAAATAGAAAAATAACAAGCTCCATGTTTAAAGATAAAGGATGCATCCATAAATCAAATAATTCCAAACTGCCATGTTCTAAATCGCCCCATTCCTTCTATACTTAAGAAAATAATAGAAATTAAACAAGAAAAGAAGACAAGATAATGACCTATTATTGAAGAACAAGGGAAAGTAAGAAGCAAATAAAGACAATGGATTTTAATTCAGAAAGGGAACAGATAAATTTTGACCTCCAACCACAAACCAATATGCGTAACATTAAGAATGTTTGCTCAAGAATGTTTTGTCTACACCCAAATGTCACTTTTCTCAGGTGCCCCCATATGATATCTCAGTCTATAAAGGAGAAAAGTGATGTTTGATGTAGACAAAGTGTTTCAAGAGTTTGTCACACTGCACAGGCAGGTTATACGAGGGTCAAACTGAAAGTTCTTAGAACTGGCCACTTATAAACAATATAATAAAAAAATAATTCTAAAATTTGAAAATATAACTCTTTGCCAATATTACTGAGTATATATTTCATTCATTTGTCATTTGTTTTACGATTTGGCGGCAAATTGAAAATTGTCTGTGTCACGTCATCATGAATTTAACACGAGAAAATTTTCGTGCAATGATTTTTTATGACTTTCGATGTCATTTAAGTCAACAAGAAAGTTATGATAGACTACGATTGGCCTTTCACGATGAAGCCCCATCTCGTGCGACTGTTTACAACTGGTTTAATGAGTTTAAACGTGGTCGCACTAATCTCACTGATGATTTACGTGAGGGACGGCCTTCTACGGCGACGACTGAAGATAACATCTGTGTTGTGCGGCGTATGATAGAGACTGACAAAAGAGTGACCTATCAACAGATTCGGACAAGCTTAGGCATCGGTATGAGTCAAGTGCACAAAATCCTCCACGAACATTTAGCGGTCAGGAAGCTTTGCGCCCGGTGGATACCTCATAATTTGACTGAGGCTCAAAAACTCCATCGTGTGGATTGGTGTCGTAAAATGATTGAAAGATTTAACGGAGGTGACTCAAATGCTGTGTTCGACATACTAACAGGTGACGAAAGCTGGATTTACTGTTATGATCCTAAAACCAAAAGACAATCTGCTCAGTGGGTGTTTCCTTTCGAGGAGTTGCCAACTAAAGTGAAGAGAGATCGAAGTGCGGGAAAAAAAATGGTGGCCTCGTTCTTTGGAAGGATAGGTCATTTTGCAACAATTGTGTTAGAGGATCAAAAAACAGTTTCTGCAGAATGGTACACTACCAATTGTTTGCCACTTGTCTTGGAAAAAGTTCGAGAGAAACGACCTCGCAGTAGGATCCTCCTTCACCACGACAACGCCTCGTCGCACACCGCCAAGCGAACGATCGACTATTTGGCGACATCAAACGTTGAATTACTGGGTCACCCGCCGTATAGCCCCGACCTCGCGCCTTGTGATTTTTATTTATTTCCAAAAATTAAAGAAAAACTTAAAGGAAAGCGGTTTATGAATGCTGAAGAAGCGGTGGCTGCGTATCGCGATGCCATTGAAGAGACCCCTAAGGACGAGTGGGCAAAGTGCTTTTCCCAGTGGTTCCATCGCATGCAGCGGTGTATTGACATGAATGGACAATATTTTGAAAAGATATAATAAAACTAATAACTGGCTAATGTAATCAGTTTTTGATTTTCTAAGAACTTTCAGTTTGACCCTCGTATATCTATTTGACAGGTGTCACCAAGAAGCCAATAAACAGTTATATTTAGAAAACTGTTAAGTTCTCATAGTGATCACAAAAGGCTACAGGATATTTTTTTAAATATATGTCACTAGTTGAAGTTTATTTTCAATAAAATTACAATAATCTTATATTCCCATGCATAAAAATAAATAAAAATTAAAACTTCCGTTTGTTTCATTTACACTTTTAACACTAATCACAAACAGTGTAACATTAATCATTAGATTTTAAATAACTATTTTTGAAGTTAATGTAAATAGACAAAAACTGACATTCCCCATCACCCCTGACCTATACTACTAAACTACATCAAAATATCCAAACTCAAAGTTAGGAAAGAATCGACAATTTGGTAATAACTTGATAATATTCTTTTATTTAGGCAATTAACATTCATTTTCTTAGATACAAGTACAAACAGGGGATCATGAAGGTTAATTTCTATAATCAATTAACTAACATATTGGAGAAACCTGGTGCTTTGTGGTAACTTGCTCTATAAACTATATAAGAGTTAAAATTTAAACATAAAACCTCAAAGAACATTTTAATGTAACAATCTCACCTCATTGATTGTTGTTGATAAGGGTCAATATTAGCAGATTTCTTTGCGCTGGGTTCTGATCCGTCTTCTAAAGGTCTCTTAGTACTACTAATTTTAGCCGCAACCTACAAATAAAACACAACAGGGATTGTATTGAAATCATACAGTACACTAGGCAAAACGAGAACTTGTACATCAAAAAATGAAGGTAGGTTAGATTAAATTCTTGCACAGAAAGTAAACGACGTGAAGGTATGTTAAAAAAAGAGGAGGTACAAACATAATTTTAAAATGTTATAAACTCATTAAAAATCCTTAAAGTAACGGTAAAATAGTATCATGAAAGCGCAAAAGTAAGGTGATTATGCATCAAGCGTACAACGCTTACTTACCAATTTTGCACGCTGGAGAGCATCCACATATCCCGCCGTTTGACTATTATTTTGAAGCGTAGCCATAGAAGGATAGTCACTCATTTTTAGATTAGAGTACACATCAATCGCAAAATATGACTGCCATCAAAAATGGATTTAAAAATCCAAAAAAATATCACGGATTTGCCTCGCTACTTCGACGAAAAGACGCTGCCATAGAGATTTTTTTTGCTAATATCCAAAAACAACGTTGCCATACTGCTCTTTGGTTGGACAACGTTGCAAATATGCAAACATGTTGGCCAGCGCCAGACATTTGACCAAATACGCAAATACTTAAATAGACGCCAAGTGAAATGCGTGCACATTTCTCATTTGATGTTGAAAAGTCATATTACATTTTAAAAATGCAAATAATGGTGCATGTAAAGTTGTTTATTGGATGAATGAAATGCTGCCTTCAAAAATCAGTACCGATTACAAATAAACATTGGTTGTCGAGTACATTTATTGATTTGGATTGTGTTGGGATCACACATAATTTTCTTGGTTTCGATTATTATGAGGAAGTATTTAAAAAAAACAACATTAGTTCCGAAATCAAACTAGATGTCGCTACGGTACGTTCTTGATTTCTCCATGACAACTATATAACAAAATGTTAGTTAAATGAAACGGAAATGTCTTTGGTCAATTCGTTTCCTGCAAAAATCAACTATTGCTAAAGTCGCTATCTAGTGCAGGTGCGATTTTAGTGCTTTCTTTTTTTTAAATACTTCCTCATTCCCTTTGGTCTTAATTTCCCTGTTTTTCATGGTTCAAAAATACCCAAGGAAATTATACATTTATATATATATATATATATAAATGTATAAGCAAGGAAATTAGATATATTTATTTACGTATAGAAATTTCCATTTTAATAATAAAGTTATTACTGATTATATTAATTATACACTCTTTACATTTAGATTTTTTTTTTTAATTTGTGAATAGAACATGATAAAAATGGCTTTGTCTAGCCATACAGATAGGAGAAGAAAAATTGTTAAAGAAAGACTAGCAGAAAGAAGAAGTCTGGAAAAATTCAAAGTGACCCAAAATTATTTTGAATATTCGGTTTTTTTTATTATTGTCTTAATTATCTCATTTTTTTTATTTAAACTTTTTTAATTAATTTTTTTTTAATTATAATTACTATTATTACTTTTTAATTAATGAAATAGAGAAAATGCTTATCAACCATTTTGATTTTAATGTGATTGCTTTGATTGTGCATGCTGTTTACGCATTTGTGTTGCAGCCTACATCTGATTGTACACTTTTTTCTGCTTGTTTATGCTTCTTGTTATAACTTCATCATGTGTAACAAATCAAATAAATATTATATAAGGTATTCAAAATCAAAAACAGAGCCAGATATCATAAAAAAAAGAACACAAGACTCCTTTAAATGGTAAAATGACATCGAATACAGTGGAAGAAAAATAGAGGTCATTTTAAAATTTATTGCATCAGACAAAAGAAGAAAAAATAAAAACCTAGTCAAAATTTTATTGCTGTTCCTGCTTATCCTAATGTCGCTTTTTACAGTTATACTTTTGAATTATTAACCGTTCCAAAATCAACAATTAAACACGCACTTTTCGTGACATAAGTGAAATGAGTTCCGAAATTACACAGAAATAGAATACGTGAGACACGTATAAATCAACCTTGTTTTGTATTTTTATACAAAAATGGAACGCATATAATCTCTACAGTAAATGACGTGAATTAGGACACATGACTCACATGAGTGAATTCGAATTCGGGTTCGGAATTATTACAGAATCATGCCATTGTCATTAACGTGGCCAATTCATTTTCTCAAAATTACCATTGAGAAGACGAAACTCATGTCACTTCTAACGTTCATATTGTACCTACTCCCGTAAATCTCGGGAACTCGCCACTAGTAGTTGTTGACCATTTTCGAAATAGCGTTCGGGAAGCTCCGAAATGTCTTCTTGTCCCAAATACCATAGTATCTCAAGACAAAGGTTTTTGACTAATGCGTATTGCTAGTGCTGACGTATGGCACTGAGACGTAGTTGCTAACTGTGGACTTTTTAATAGACTCAAAATCACCCAGAAGGCGGTAGAACGGGCTTTATTTGGAGTTTCTCCGCTAATCAGAGAAGATTCGTAGACGAATCAAGGTAACCGACATCGTCTGACGAATTGCGAGACTGAAGTGACAATGGGCAGGATAAATGGTCCTTAAGACAATAAAAAATTTTGAGTAACGACCACAGTAACTGGACAACACGGAAAGCAGAGCTAAGGCAAGCCTCTCACAACATAGACAAACGATTTGGTCGGTTTTGTCTGAAGATTTGAATTGCGCGTCGCCACTTTTCTTGGCGATTCTTGTGGGAGGCCTTTGTCCAGCACTGGACATTTTCAGGGTCACATAATGATCAAGATGACGAATCTATTATGAGTTTATAACTGAAATTGACGCAAAAAGAAGTAAAAAACACATGATTTCAGTTTAAAGCTAACAACTATATTTGATATTCATATATACCTACCAGCAAATATACCAGGAAGATTATTATTTTATCATAGTTGATTTGTCTCCATTTTGTGTCAATTTACTAACCTTTACAAATTAATAATAACTTGATTACATATCTCTTTCTAATTTTAATGCAAGATAGATAATTTTCTTGGATCATCTCTAATTTCCTTGGTAGTCAAAATTTCATTACCTCGTAACTTTGGTTCCAAAATTTTTAAGTTTAATTTATTTACTCCTCAAGAAAATATTTAACACGATAATTAAACTAAGCCATGAATAGAAACCACGAAGGTTTGAACACATGTGATATGAATAAAATTACATATAACATGCATTTAAACAACTCGGCAAAAACTTAGTTAACATAATATTAACAACATTAATGTTAACATTTAAGTAATAATAGGTGACCAAACAACACACACTTGGTACAGTATTTAGTCACCAAGCACATCTAAATAATAATTAATAACCCTTTTAGATAAAAGGGTAGAGTTTTTTATTGTCTAAATGTTAAACAAATTGAAACTTATAAAAAAAATCAAATGTCATAGAAATATAAAGAAAAATTGTCATTTTTTGCGAACTACCCTCGTGTTATAATTAAAATCTAGTAATCCAAAGCCGATGTATAATTATCTGGCAATATTTAAGACATCGGCCAGATAGTTGCCATATACTTATCAGTTTCTTTCAGTTGTGAAAATCATCAAACTAATAAATAAATAGTGAATCAATAGTTAATAATATTTTAATTAAATACTTAAGTGTTTTCGCAAGGTTTCCGCCTTGAGTTATACGCGAAGAAAAACATGGATTGCAATGTATTATCTATTTAAATAGAACTATTTGCTGTGTATGCAATATATTATTTATTTATATTCATTTATATAGCTTTATGTATATATTTTGTATAACATATAAAACTGTTTCCAATAAAAATTTACTTCACCTTAATCTTTTCTACACTATGAACTTTTCTTGCACCGTGTGTATCGAAACGCAAACTTTTTTTTTTCTATGTTATGGGTGCGTGCATTTGTGTTGTCCGGTGTTTGAAGACGCTTTGGAATTCGCTTTCAATTTCTTCGTAGGGAAAATGTCGGGTGATACCGATAAAGCGAAAATCAGTGACAATCAGGTATAGTTGTGAAATATGTCTTTATATTAATTTTCTTTATAATGGTGCGCGTGTAATAGAATCGTTTTGAATAGTGAAGTGATGTTATTTCCGTGTTATATCATTAATGTTTGCCTGCGTCTCAACATGGCTGACAGAACGTTTGCTTCCCGCTAAACGCGGGAACTACGCCACGGAGGGTTGTGATATAAGTCAACATTTTGGATTTAAAACTGTGAATGCTAACGTGATCAGTTATTGAAACTGAATCTAATGGGATATATTTCGTAATATCGTATATTTTGCCACCCCCGCCCCTTTGCATTTGTCTGCAGGGCCTTTGTTAAAATGTGCAAGATATACTATGACATTGATAGGAAATCCGTATGACCTTGATATTTAATTTTTGGTGGACTAAACGATTTTTAGAGCCAAATTGTTATGTTGTCAGTCCAACGGCGCCGTCTCGTATCTCATTAGCGGCGCTCGGAACTCGGCGAGCAATGTAAATAAAACACGATCTCCTTTCGGGGGCCTTTCATGCTGACCTTATTTTTTGCAAATAAAGTTTGCACAAATTTTACGACGTAATATAGTTATTAGATGTAAATTTTGCGAGAATGTCAAAAAACTATTGATGATTTAAAATAGATTTTGTTAAATGTAAAACTGTATAGATAAATATCCGATAATGTACATACATGTAGTTGCTATGCATATAGTACACATCTGTATAGTGTTCCGACGATTCGTATAGGTGTATTGCAAAAATGTAATTTATGTCTAACATGTTAAGGTTGTCGTTCGGTTGGCAAGTAACCGATTCTAGTGAGATGCAAAGTCGACATCGCAAAAATTGGTAACACAGTGGTATCTATTGTTTATTTTCGAGTCTAATAATTAAATATTATAGACTTTATTTTCTGTCATCCATCATCACACCACAGTAAATCCTATCAAAATGATCAAGATCTATGTTTACAAATCTATCATCGATTAATACTTTTTTATATCTATTTATTCATTATATATAAATAACCTAACATTATATTTTATTTAAATAACAGTGCCAATTCTGTTATATCACACTTAAGTAAAAATCTAAATTTCGTTTCAACGGTTATTCCATCAAAGAAATATTGTATTCCTTCAAACTATAATATAAAAGATTTATTTACTTATCTTAGTTTACATCTTAGTTTACATCTTAGTTATTTTTAGGAATAAAAACATATTTGACAGGATCAAAACTTAAATTTAAGTGCAAGTGCATGTAATAGAATTGCCACTAATTATCACTTTACAACTACTGAAACAATTTTAAAAAACACTTTACATGTTGGAAGAAGCATCATTTAGGGTTGACATAGGGTTACATTTATGTGGGTGAAGTCATGGGAAAATGGCTTGCATAAGTATATAATATAAGCATAATATTATGTAGCTAAAACTTTCATTTAATATATTATAAATTTATGACTTAGATGTACCCTCATCTAATTTAAGTTATAAATTGACAAAAATTCTGTTGAAAATATCAAAGCAAAAACTGTTTAATATATAAAATTTATTATAAATCAACAATTCATTATTTTGTGTTCAAGCAAACCCTCAAATATGTTTTAGAAAATTGAAGTAAAATAACAGTAGATCAATAGTTTTCATTGATTGAAATATCAATGAAAACTAAATTTAATATATTTTCAAAGGCTAATATACATATTTTTTGATAATTTAAAAGAGGTAGTACAAACACTTCTAATGTATAGATAATCATCATGGATTAATTATAACAAAATTTTTCAAATTTTCATTTGTGAACAAACAAAGTAAGCCCTCAGAATTAAAATGAATCTAAGAAGTTCAAAATACTATGGTAAAAACGTACATAATATCATTAATTGTTAGATTTTTTGATAATAAATATCTTATCTTGTACAGGATGAAGACAAGAAGTCTGGAGCGGGTGATGGGCAGACAACAGAAGACGAATCGTCACAGGACTCTAAGGGTGAGTCGCAGGCCACTGAGACAGATGCCCAAGGTACCGCTGATGTAGATCAACAGAATGCAGACAAGAAACTGAATGATGAAGGTCAGGATTGTGTGTGAACCATCCTCACGTGTTCATCTACATCACAAACTAACCACTGGGCTGCATTTGTTTCATCTACTGTTCATTACTTGTTGATCATTCTGAATGCTTAATTGTTTTGTACTAATTTTTTAATATAATAATGAAATGCACTTCTTATATCACATATATATACTATGACTAATAAGGATTAACTTCCATTTGAATAATTGTGATTAACATTTTTATCATTAAGCTTTATTTGTTATATTATAAACTATGTTTTTAGTAGTAATATAATAGTACACATCATATTCGATGGGGATGACGACTGGGTAAATAAAGAAATTCTATTTAGTCCATCAGTTAGATAATAGAAAAATATTAGATACGTATTTTTTTTTTACTTCAATTTAACAATAAATAGATAAAAAGTGTTAAAGTTTAGGAGTGGGGTCTCGCTTCGTCACAGTTTTGTAAAGCGTGACGTCATGACATTTTAATTCAATCTATCGCCGTAATTTATCGGTTACGCAAAAAATAAAAAAAATACGTGTTTAATATTTTTCAACAATCTAGCGAAGAGCATACAATAAATTAGTCGTCATTTATTAAATGGTTATCTTCTGTGACTTTCCGATTTCAACATTACTAGTCAACATCTGTTAATAGGGAAAATGTACATTTTTTAAATATTTAATTTTAGTAAAATGAGTAACAATCACGAGCACTTTAAACGCCGGAACTTTTGGCGCAGTCCTCTCGACGTCAAAGGACGCGGCTACAGTTGGGTCATTAGAATAGGCCACATTTGACATCTCTCAACCTCAACTTCAGAACATGAACAAATAACCACATTCGGATCAGTAAAGTATTGTTTAAATAGGTACATAAAATTAAATGATAAACAGTTTCAATCTAGAAAATGTTTTAAACTCAAAGAATACATCACTATATTTGCAAAATCTTTTAAATACGAATTTATTGACAAATAATGAACTTCTTCTGACAACTTGCACCATGAAAATCTTTAATAAACTCCTACAAATTGTGTAATGGTAATGGTGTTCAAATATCTGGTTACATTTAAGAGGGCGCAAACACCAAAGGCCACTTAACTTTCAATTGGTTTTGTACCATTAAAATTATTAAAAAAACATATTTCTAAAGAATCTGTCATCCAAAATGTGAATTTATAAAATTTTCCCTATATAATCTATTGCGTAATATTATGAAATAGTTTTACGATACACTATTTGGTGTTGAGAACATTCGCGACCACAACCTGAGTAATATCCGAAACAAACGATATAAACATTATTTGAGGTAAATATCATACTTCAACTTATATTATAAAATTTTATTTGTAAAAAATTCAAGAAGTCGAGGAAATAGAAGCGTACAGATTATTACTTTATTTATTGAAAAAAAAAAATTAATTAAGCAACAGTAAGACCCATAATAAAAGTAATTCATAGTTTCCAAGAGAAATGAAATAATTTTATACCAAAACAGGTGTTAGTATTTTGTTATACACACAAACTATGCTCGATAATTGAAAAAGGTATGTATTTTCACTGCCAAATTTGGTACACAGAAATTTGTATTTCTACAAAATGGTAACACTTAACTTTTAAGTGGGTAAATTGCACATTGAAACCGGCGTCCACTGGTCTCGTCTCGAAAGCTGCTAATAATCCTAATAAATCGTATTCACGTTTTTGAGACTACTACTGCTGTACCCAAATTCACACGAGAAGTTAAAACGACACGAATTTTAATAGTAATAATAATCAATTATTTACGTAAAACGTGGTATGAAACTTTTACTTCATTACAAGTAAAGAAACTCTGAGATTATATTTCAATCCTACCAAACTTTTGTTTATATGTAACACTAGTCCTTACTGTAGAGTAATTTAATTGTAACACGTCTAATTGGTGCGTAATTCTGGACAAGTTCTTAGGGTTTTTGCATATCTCATGGAAGGTGTGTTAAGCGTCTCACGGTGGTATGCGTCTCCGTCGAGTGTGCAAAAAGTAAGAAATAATACTTATCTCAAAAACGATTTTAACTTTTCAAGAAACCTCTATGACGTCGGGCGGAGGTCACAGAGGTACGCACAGGATATAGGCTATAATATAAGTGGACGAAGACGCGGAAAAACAGCTATTTGATAGAAATTGGTTCATAATTCATGAAAGAATCGATGAATATACCTACTTACATAAAACATATACATACGCGTTGAACATGGTAAATCCTGCATAATTTCGAATTCTTCGAATCTTTTGTTTTTTTTTTCACTGATACATGTCATCTAAAATATTTATTTGGAAAAGCATATTTTGTTTTGTTATAAAATAAAACTAATGGTTTAACTTTGGTAAAAGGTCATGGGTTTGGGTTCCGTCTCAGGGTGCCGGTTAAACCAAATCTGTGCTACTTTACAAAAATTGTTCAAATTTTTTTGTCGCGGCTTGCATTGCGTTTTTACCTTTTTTGTAGTGAAATTTTAAACATTTACTCGTTTTGGCACCATGCACAAACAAATGAAAATTACACATTTACCTGATTTGAATTCGGAGTTATCTTCTTTAAAATTGAAAGTTTTTAATGATACCGAAACCAGCCAGATACAAGTGGTATAGCCAGCAAGATTTAATTACAAGTTTATGCATACTATATGCGAAAAAGCTTTTCCCCAACCCAATATGACACCTTTTTTGATTTTGAAGTCAGATGAAGTCTTCATAGTCGGAAAGGATAGGCAACCCATATTTTCTATTATTTCGGATTCTCACGGCTAATGTATAATTTTCATTGAAGGATTTATTAAGAGAGAAAAAAGTAGTTGTTGTTTTAACCAATGCATATGTTTTGTATTCTTTTATAAGGGTTTGGTTATAAAGTCTTAAGTTTTTTAAAATTATTAATTAATTATTAAACACATGAGGGGATATTTTTCTTAATCATGTCTTAGATTATTAGGGAACACAAGAGTTTATGTTTTACATGGTATAATAAACGTTCAGTTAATACGAATACGGAAGTATTTTTGAGTACAAATGCCGTGCCGATTTATTTTTGTATAATTTTATCCGCGTGACATTGAAATTCTTTGTTTTGATTGCTTGTACTGGTGACGTAATATATACTATGACACTTAAGTTATTTCTTAAAAGATAATAGAGTTATATTAATTACCAAATTTAATTTATATGTTGACCTTTTTTATTGTCTGGACTATACGTTTATAATCAATAAGTTGATGATTTCAAAATCGTAATTTAAAAAAATAATCATTATGCATGTCTAAAATTATTGTCCATTATGGTATAAATAAATGTGTCACCAGGTATTCATAAGAAAAGCAAATTAATAGTAAAAGTGTTGTTCCGGATTCATCCTATGACGTCTCATCCCATTTCTGTACTCATTACTGACTAGTATTCCAAACTCAAACTTTAAATATTTTTCTTAGTTCATCCTAAATGTATTCCTTAAACATCATGAAGCAAATATTACTATAAAAAAATATGAATAGCACAACAACGTTTTAATATTTTTTCGTACATACAATATCATATATACAATAGAAATACTTATCTAATATTTTACATGCACTATGTATGTTTAGTTTTTAAAAGTATTGTCACCCACTAGTTATATATACTTATATTCTACTTAATCTATTAATATTTCCAACTGTTGGGGCATAGAATAATTGCAATCGAATCAAGTTGAATAGTGAGAATGAGTATTATTATTCACAAGTGCAGTATATTGGTAATTTCATATCATAGGGAAACTTGCACTATGCAACAAACAGGCATAAAATAGGACATCGATTCAGCTTGTATTTTGATCTCGCTTCCATTCTTCCACATCCGCGAGCCTTAAAAGAGCTAACTCATGGGAAGTGTTTTTTTTATATTTGTTTCATTTCGTAATAAATATAAAATTAAAATTACCAAACAAAACGAATACATAAACCTTGGGTTTCTTGATAAAAACTTGAATCGTCCAAGTTACAGAATACACTTTTATTATATTATATAATTTCTATTTTAATTACTCATTCGTCATTATTAACAATCATTAATAAAATTTTGTTTCAAGTTTATATGATTTTATAATAAATGTCTTCTTCTTCTTTCTTGTTAGATGGCTTATGGCATTTCGTACAATTCTGCCAATGTCAAGTGAATAAATTAATTTTTACATGTAAAATGAAAATGAAATGAACGAAAGATAGCGATTGAAAATCGTGTAGTTTGCTTTTCTATAATATATGTGATTTACATGTTTACAACAGATTAATTTTTTTCGAACTGACATCCATAAAGAGTATATTTGATTAGCCAACATTTTAAATTACGAAAGGTGAATAACAAAAAGAAATGTTGAAAATCAAAGACAAAAAGTTTGCATGTTGAAATCCAGGAAAAATAAACGGCGGTATGGCACACCGTTATAACATTACACAAATTTTTGCGCAATTTTAGTATTCGGTCGCATAATTTAATTTGTTTTCCTTTCATTTGAAGCATTATCTGTCTGTTATTCACAGGTGATGTAAAATCAACTACGGCCAATGGTAAGGATGATCCCGCTGAAGATTCAAAAGATGACAAGAGAGAGGCTAAAGCCGACAGCGATGCTAAAAAGGTATGATACACAGGCACAACTAAGACGTATATAGTCACGTTTTTACCAATAATGGGTATATTTTTTACCAATTTTTAGGAAGCTTCGCTTGTGTGGTCCCTCGGGATATAATTACAATGACAAATTGAATAGTAAAGAATGGTTACTATGCCAATGCCAAAATTTTCACACCTATTTTCATACTTTTGCTGTTTTTCGGGAAAAAATATAATAAAAAAAAAATCACATCTTTCCTCTTTATAATATTAGTATAGAACTGTTACGTGCTAAGATTCTGGGTACGCCAATTACGCCAGATCACAATCCGACTTTATTTACATAATAAAATCACAAAAATAAACCAATAACTGTATAAGTAACTTCTTTTACTTCACAATACTATTAGATCATCTTGATAGTACACTTCATTAGTTATTGCTTCGAGTTTCGCTTGTATTCAGTTGACTAGTCTCTGAAAGAATGCTGGGATGGGTAACCGCGTATTTATACGGGACACAATTATAATGTTTAACATTTATACCTGGAACATTCTAGGTTGGCCTCGACCCTACCGGTGTATTCTAGGCATTACCAAAAAGTTCTAGAACGGCTACTGGTCCCTCTGTTCTCCAGTGACTGTCCCTTCCTCACTGACGTATACCTACCTATATGTATAACACACATAGTTCCGACGGTGTTAGTGCGATTTTAATGACACGTAATGCCATCTAGTAACGGGTAGATAAAACATTAATCTTGCTGCGCTCCGTAACAATACCTACAATGAAATGGTGCACTCGTACTGACCATAAAATCAACCTAAAAATCCAGATGCGTAGTTTCTCTTCTTTAATCTTATATACATAAACTAATACTATAGATTTTTTTTATTAAACACAGGAAGAAAACGGTGAGACACATGATGATGATGAGAAAGATGCCGTAAAAGAAAACGACAAGGGAGCTAAGAAGGCCGCTCCTAAGAAAAAACCTAAAAAAGAGGTACGTTATTTACTAAGAACAGTGATGTCAAGTAAGAGATCACGTGTCTTTTTACACGGGGATATATTCAACTTATATCTAATGACATTATAATTCTGTTAGTTTTGTTACTTGGGCTTTCACTATCAACATACAAAAAGTAGAGTTCATGAAATACTAAAATATAAAATAAACTGAGCGAAACACTGTATTCTGGCGAAATCCACAAAGGCGCCATTAATTAAAAAGAAGAAGAACCACAAATGACATTGTTTCATGACAATGTCATTTTATTAACCATGTGACATTTTTATAGGACACTGAAGAGGAGGAAGAAGACGAAGACGAGGAAGAAGAGGAAGAGGATGAGATGGATGATGAAGGGGAAGAAGATGAAGCGCCTAAAGAAAAGTGACTATTTAATTTGTTTATTACACAAAAGAAAATTAAAAATGTCTTAAGATTCGTGCTAAAACAAAGTTGTCAATTCACATGTGTTCTTATCAGGTTTACGTTTAACGTACTTTTATTCATTAAAGTTTAACAATTACTCAGGGTGAAAAAGCCAGCTAAGAAACCGAAAGATGACGATGAAGAGGGTGATGAAGAAGGTGACGAGGAGGGTGAAGAGGAAGAGGAGGAGGAGGAAGAAGAAGAGGCGCCCAAACCTAAGCCCAAGAAGGAGGTACTGATATATATATGACGAACGCAGTAAAACAATCGTAAAAAAGTTTGGTAAACTGATACATCAGGTACCCTTCGTACTTATCCTAAAATACAGTTGACACTTAGTTTGAGATTGCCTATTACATATAACATGAGTGGTAGCTTACAAGATTAGGCATTGATCTTGATAATTTATTATCATTATCAATATTGTAATAAAAACTAAATAATTCCTTTTTATTGTAGCATGTGAATGACACAAAAAGCACACTTAACACTATACTACTGGTATAATTTGTGTGGTGGTAAACAAATAAATTTGGATTCACTGGTTTTCTCTTTCGAATGTATTTTCTCTCGCTCATTAGCCTACAGAACCACCAGTGCCTCTACCAGCGGGCAAGGGAATACCACTGGGACACATTAGTAACGTTGAAGTGTCTCTTTCACGGTTCAAGACTCAAGACCAGAAGATATTACATCAGTACTTATATGGCGTGAGTATAAATACAATATGTAATTAATTTAATATCGACTGATCACGGAAGTTTAAAAAGTTATTTATATTAAATCAATGTTTCTGCATTTTGACTAATAGGAAGTGCAGTCTCAGCGTAAATTTAATCCATCGCTGAACCTTGTTTATTAATAACACTGATAAATAATAAAAGTAATTACTTCTTACTTTATACCCCTGTTACTTTGAAGTTAACTAAAATTTATGGCTAGTTATATACATGTTTTTAAACATAATTTAACAACTTTTCAATGGTTTACATACAAATGCCAATAACAATTTTTGTGTAGAATATACATTATATATAGTTTTAATATATATGTAGTTTTAAGACTTTATGAAAGCTTTAGATTTAGTGATACATTTCATAATAAATATTATACTTTTCAATTTAAAGTTATTTATTAGCTTACTGATATGTAAAATATACAAACAAGTGTACCCTAAGGATCATTCTTAGGTCCAGTACTTTGTTACGTAAACATATTCATATTTTTTATTAACTTACACTACAGGACTTTTTAAACGTGAAAACTAATATTCTTTCGTTTGCTGCAGCAACTGTGTTTAGACCGAAATGTGAAGAGGAACATAAAGAAGTTCAAAGGATACGAATGGGCCATTGGCTCGACGGAATACAAAGCCAAGCTGGAAGAAACGTCGAAGATGGAAATGAAACAGCTGCGCACCATGTGCGAAATGCTCGACTTGGATAAGAAAGGTGGGTTATATTATACAGTTGTGTATAACTTCTACTGTCAAATCACATTGATCGTGTGTTTCTGGAAAGCGGTATCAGAAGTTATTAAAACTGGTGAGTTTGTGTGACAATAATAATCAATGTCGAGGAGGAAAGGCGTATGTAAGGACCGTGCCTTATGATGCTCGGCTCGCCCTGCCTATCCTGCAAGGGTCTGAAGATACAAGATAGAGAACTCATACTCTGATATCATGCAAAATTTGATTATATTTGACCACTTTGGCATTCACAATGCTATGCTGGTAAATAAACAATGCTTAAAGTCCTTAATAAAAAAGATAATAAAATTACAGGGTAGCTCAATGATAAGAGCAAGTTGCTCGGGGTTGAGTGCCATTTCACGATATCTGGGGCTGGTGAATATTTAAGTATTTTTCATTAAGAATGTAAAATGTTGTTTGATTTAGCGGATATTAAGAAATACCGTTTACAATTACACAAGTGGAAATGTGGTGATTTAAAAATGACAGGTGCAAGAGATTGGCTCATAGATATACAATTTCATGCCGAAGCTCTTACTTTAATATAACACTGAGTATGTTAAATTCGTTTAAATAATAGTTGTATGAAGGTTAATTACTTAATTAATAGATTCAGTCGTTTTGAGGTACAAGTGATTTAGATGGTTCCCTCCGAGTTTATTACTGAATTATTTTGCATTGTTCTGGAAGACTTACTCTAGTGTTAGGATATGAAATGAAAATAATTTATTCAAATAAGCTTAATTTTGGATTTCTTGACCGACTAGAATGTAACGTCAAGATAGATACGAATTGCAGAGGAAGTTACAGAAACAATCATCTACCGCGAAAAAGAAACCCGTCTATGTATTTCTTGTTTATGAAAAAGATAAAAAGATGTATTTTTGATTAATTTTGCCTTTAATAACATATCGGTATTAATAACCTTAAAAAAAACAATAATTTTTTTTATAAGAAAATTATAAAAAAAAATTAATGGGATGGAGCGTGGGCATCTCAGGGTTTAGGATGAAACGTCGAATCGTGAGTGTAGATGTAATAAAGAGTGTGTTGTAGGCGGTAGTTCGGAACTGGCAGCGCGCCTGGTGGGATTCCTGCAGCAGCCCGTGGCCAACTCGCCGCACGCGCGCGGGCAGGTGCGCCCCGCCCCCGCGCCCGCCGCGCCCGCGCCCGGCGGCCGCCCGCGCCGCTCCGCCACCGTCAAGCTGCACAACCGCGGTAACTATACACCGCCGCACTGCACTGCACTACACTATACTACACTACACTGTACTGCACTTCACTTCACTTCACTTCACTACACTACACTACATTACACTACACTACACATGTAAATGTGCAATAGGTGTATATCACTTACATTATTCAGATCCTCATATCGAATGATTACCAATCGCACACTAATTAATCAAAACCTTTGAATTTACTACTACTTAATTTTTTTTTAAAACACATTTTACGTTTGAAATACAATTTTACTATTATGTGATAATTTAATGCTTGTATTGTCTATTTAACCTACTAATGTGACGGATTTGTTATTGAATTTCTGTGTTCTGATCGCTAGGCTACTCTGATGAGGAATATGAAACTGATCCAGAAACTAAAGTAAAAGGACCCAAACCAGTGAGAGATGGCTCGGAAGATTCTGATGTGAGTTTGAATCGTTAATCATTGTTTAAAATATTCTGTATGAATAACATTTACATTAATTGTTGTTAAAAATGTTTATTGGCTCCATTTACAAAAACAGACAATGAAGCATCATGCTTTTGAATTCTTCAAAGTACCATAAAAACATTATGGTTTCTGTCAATAAAAAGTTCGGTGGCGTGGTCTCGTTTTCCAAAAGTAGATCATCATATAGGTGGACAACGGTTTACTGTATTGAAATTTTCTGTATTTCGGAAGGCATAATAATTAATGTTTAGGAAAACTGCATCTGCAGGATGTTAAGTTGTACGTGATTTTAACGATGAAAAAAATGAGCGTTCCACAAGCGGACATATTAGAAAGTCGATGATGTCGAGTCGTTCGACTAGTCTTTCCATGAGTTATGGCCGGTTTACAGTGTTATGTCGATAAGTTTAGCAAAGAAGGGCGTGTGCGTGTTGCGTTGTGCAGGGGTCGTTCAACCCGAGCGGGTCGGAGGAGGGCGACTCGGACTTCGACCCGGAGGCGGGCGAGGGCGCGGGCGGGGCCCACGCGCGCCGCCGCCGCCCCGGGCCCGCGCGCCGCCGCTCGCACACCAAGCCCGCGCGCCGCGGCCGCAAGCCCAAGGGCAAGCCCGCCAAGGTATTCATTAATATTTATTGTCGATTAGGTAATATAAAGAAAAGAAGAGAAAAAAAATATAAATTTGGCCCGAACTCGCTCGCGAAAATCGGATTGAATGCTTAACTTTTGTGATTTTGACGTGGATACGTCTATGTTTTCGTTCTACAGGGGGGTCATTCTGTGAGCAGGAGTATATGCACTAACGCCATCTATTGGCGTATAAGTGAACTATGCTTGCTCTGCAGGGGGAGGGGCATTCTGTCAGCAGGAGTATATGCACTAACGCCATCTGTTGGCGCTAGTGAATACTTTTTTCATTCAACAAATGAACGCAACGAATATTTATTTATTTAGTGTTTAGTGTCTTCAATTTGTTTATTTATTTTTTTATCAATTACTAATATATCCATTCATACATAGACGTATCCACGCATAAAATATGGCTGTATCAATGATACAGCCAACCAGGGTTTTTTCCATGTATTTAATAGATTTTCCGATCTATATGTAAAAAATCAGTAAGACTTTCGATGAGTCAAAATTAACGTAACGTCGTATTTCAGGGCCCGAGCGGTAAACCAGGTCGCGGCCGGAGACCGAAGTCGGACAGCGACGAGGAGAGCGAGAAGTCCGAGAGCGAGAGCGAGAACGAGTCCGGCAGCGAGGGGGAGGAGTCCGACGTGAGTAAACCGTGCTCGAACATTAATGTGATCAAAGTAAATGGAGGAAATTTTGTACATTGACAAAATTGGCTAGATGCGTTTGTGCGAGCGCATTAGCGATATGTTTAAGTGCGAGTGAAAAGGATATGTAGTGCCGAGTCATTCTAAGAAATTATATCTGTTCGACGACTGAACTATATCGTGATTAGCTTGTCTCGAACCTGGGGTTGTGAGGGTTTCGTATGTTTCAGATATTCTTTAGCTACTTATCTAGAATCTGAGCAAAGCCACAATATTAAAAGAAAATAACTTACCTGTTGTTGCTATTGCCGTTGCTGTACGTGACAATAGTACATTTATTAATCGTAATCGTAATCAACATGACACCTGAGAGTCTATTCTGCTTGTTCTTGAACTTGGAAAAAATTGAATTGTTTCTATAATTTCGGAGGCAGACTTAGGTCCCGCCTCCGTTTCATCATAAATTACGAAAAAATGCGTTTCTTTGGAGGACGTATCAGCGTTACGAAAACACAAAATGTAAAAATAGGATCTTTATTTAGTGATGAAAAATTAATATGTTATGGCGTTCCCCAAGGTAGCATACTAGGTCCCACTCTCTTTTTAATATATATTGACCAGCTGTGTCGCATGTCTCTTGAGAAATGCGATATTTTTACGTATGCTGATGATACTGCACTATTAGTCTATGGTGATAGTTGGATCTCCGCAAAGGCAAATGCAGAGAGCGCACTTGCAAAAATCAAGATCTGGTTAGATGAGAATCTTCTTACCTTAAACCAAGATAAAACGCAAGTTATTCGATTTGACATCTCCAAGAAGCACCTTAAAGATCTACCTAATGATGACATTAAAATTCATCACTGTCATGACAAAGATCCGTGTGTATGTAGTAGCAAACCTTTAAAAGTTGTGAATAGTGTCAAATATTTGGGAGTGTACGTTGATGACAAACTCGACTGGCATGTACAAATTCAGATTCTCACAGCAAAGGTTCGTAGGTTGATTTATGTCTTCAAGAGACTGTGCAGTTCAGTTGATCAAAACACTCTTTTTATAATCTAAAAGGGTCTGTGTCAGTCAGTAATAGCATATTGCATTTCGGTTTGGGGTGGGGCAAATAAAACAAGCCTTTTGAGATTGGAACGAGCTCAGAGGGCTGTACTTAAGGTTTTATTGCGTAAGCCAAGAACATACTCTACGGAAAAATTATTTCATGAATGTAAAGTGCTTACAGTGAGGCAGCTGTCGATACTTCGTATTCTTTTACGTAAACATTCATCAATACCTTTTGATCATAAAATAACAATGAGGAGGTCGGGAGCTCCTGTTTGTCATCAAATAAAATGTCGGACTTCGTGGGCGAAACAGCAATACAACGCGCTAAGTTTAAAACTGTACAATAGAGTGAATAAAATTAAACCAATACTTTCGCATACAAAGCTCACTGTGAAAACCATTATCGAAAATTTGTTATTGTCATTTAACTATCACGAAACAGAGGACATGTTAAAGTAGGCAAACCAAATAGAATATATATACGCACACAAATACGACACAGGCAACACGCACACACACACCCACACACACACACACACATACACACACACACACACACACACACACACACGCACGCACACACACACACTCACGCATAGGTTTACACACAAAAGTTCTACCGATACCGATATATATATAAACAATGGTTGTAAAATGTTCATTGAGATAAGAGGAATCACTGACTTCCAAAAAACAGATTTAATTCTAGTTTGGGGGTCAGGGGCTCACAATAATTTAGGTGCTAATTTGTAACCAAAAATGCAACATTATTAATTTATATATATAAGAGAATGTTATGTTTTGGTTTGAATAAAGATTATTATTATTATTATTATTATAAGAAAAAGAATAGGCCTCTAGGTATTGTGTTAATTTGTACGAGTAGCAGTGTATACGTTTTTAAATGTATGTGTGTGTGTGTCAGGAGCCGAAGTCGAAGCGCGGGCGGCCCGCGGCGGTGGCGAAGGGCCGCAAGGGGCCCGTGGCCAAGCCCGCGCAGGCCAAGCCCGCGCCCGTCAAGCGGAAAGCGCCCACGCCGCCCGGTAACTATGCCCCGCCCCACCCCCCACCCCCCACCCCTACTGGACCTACCTACCTGTTAATTGCTAATGCGCTGGGACTGCGTTACAATAAGATAGCACAAAATGCAAGAGATAAATTATTTATTGAAGTATTTATGAATAGTCCCCAAAATATTGTTAAAATAATTGAACAACTTTCAGCTTGTTAATTTATTTTATTAATTTTTGGAATATGTGTATTTATATGTCAATATTGAGGGGATATGAAAAAAAAAAAATTTACTTTGTAATAATGCGATAACAAACCGGATGAATTTTTTTAAACATAACCCAGAGTATTAATGACATGATAAACATTATTAGATATATTTACTTTGAGTGAAATTATGTTTACTTCTTGTGAAAATCGTCTACTAGTGTTTATTTGTTAACTGTACTGATTGTTGGACGTAATTACGTCACCAAAATGGCAGCTAGGCACATTAGCAATTTGCAAGGATTGTACAAAGTAACAAACTACCTCTTTATAATATTACTAAATAATAAAACAAATTAAACTTATGTGATCCATCATTCTAAAAAAGGGGCACAATTACCTTAAAAATATGGATTTTTTAAAACTTTTAAATGTTTAACAGCCAGCTGCACAAACGTCCATTAAAATTTTCATTAGTTTAAAGCGACTTTACCCATACAAATTTGACATTGATTAGAGCTTAAAGGCGTCATTAAACCTTAATGAGCGTTTGTGCAACTGACAGTAAGCTTCGAAGACTTAATACTATGTTGATTGTTGTGTGGTGAAATACCATATCTTGCTTTTAATTGAGATTTATATTTTTTTGAAAATAAACATGTTTAACATTAATAACCTCTGGTATTGTACTATAGAACATTCTAGTCTCATCGGTTTGGCTCTAGTACTTTGAAATACACTTGTGTCGTTTGTATTGTTTTTGTCTTATTCAATGTTCTATCATCATGAGCATCTCTTAAAACTTAACGTCATTACCATGAGAAATAACTTTCATTTGTCTGATGTCAACTGTGCTAAAATACCAAAGGTCCCCAATTGACTGAAGGATATCAATTTAAGTCTCAAATGATATGGCTTTGTCGCAGCATACGGTCCTCTTATCATATTACATATGCATTAGTACAAAACCCATTCTTAGCGCCTACGTCCTAAAAAGAAGCCTCTTGCAAAATTTAAGACTCTTAGCACTTGTAGTTTCTGATATTTTGTGATGTGTGAGTGACCTATTGCTTTTATATATTATATTGAAGATATGTACAATGTAAATGTATTCGTAAAGGCAAAAAGAAGCCTGCCGGGAAGCCCGCGGGTCGCATGGCGAAGAAGGGCAAGAAGGCCTCCTCGGAGGAGGAGTCCGGGGAGGGCAGCGAGGACGACGAGGAGGGCAGCGAGGAGGACGAGTCCGCTGAAGACTCGGACGCGCCCAACGACAAGAAGCCCAAGCGTCCGCCCACGGTCCGTACTACATACACCCACACCGTTTCATACAATACATACACACTATTATTATGCAACGTATTACATATGGCCTGACACACTGAAAAAAGCTGTTAAGCTTCTTCCAGTAAAGATGCTTACTGCCTGTCAAAATATGTTGTGATATTAAGAAATGTCAGTCAATTGAATAGTCTTTTCAATTAGTTTAATGGAATAAATAATATTCTGATTTGATATAAAGTCTAATCACAATTATATTTAGTAACAAATATATAATTATTAAGAAATAGATAACAAAGTTATCATAGACGATTAGTATGGATCGACGTTCTGATCACTGTGATACTTATCCATCAGGACGAGGAGATAAAGAAGTACGTGAAGCAGATCTTGGAGGGTGCGAACCTGGAGCAGATCACCATGAAGACTGTGTGCAAGCAAGTGTACAGCCACTATCCAGAGTTCGATCTCGCACACAAGAAGGACTTCATCAAGGCCACAGTCAAGTCGGTCAGTACCTTTATTTGTCTAAATCTAATAATGCTTCTATGCGACAGATTCTGATATGACAAGTTCACCCAAGACAGGATTCGAATCCGTAACCTTTTGCCAACTGGGCGACTGGTCTATCTATTGAACTCTCAACGTGCCGACAGGCCCCTCCCAAATGTTATGCCTGGTGCCCGTTAGACAATTATAATAACTGCAAACTATGATTATTACACTTAATGGTTATTTTGATTTACACAGATTGTTATGTTTTTTTTATCCATATTGTTTTTATTATTTTTGATTTGTTTTATTTTTTGTTTGTTCCAGTGTATTTAAGATGTTAGGAGTTAAGAGAGAA